CTCGTATGCAATTCCCTGCTGCTGCTGCACAGTCATCTGTCTGTGCGTCTGCCTCTGATTCTGCTGCTTCTTCTGCTGCTGCATCTGAGGCAGCGGAGCCTTTGCTGCAGCCGGGGCCCGCTGGCACTCCTGCTGCTGCTGCTGCTGCTGCTGCTGCTTTTGCAGCTGCAGCGGCAGAAGCACCTCACCCTCCTCACGCTGCTGCTGCTGTCCCTGCCGCAGTGGCGGCAGCAGCTCGTCCCCAAGTGTTTGCTGCAATCGTGCAGCTTGCTGCTGCTGTTGCTGCTCCTGTTGCAGTGGCAGCAGCAGCTCGTCCTCGAGCTGCTGCTGCGATAGTTCTCCCTGCTGCTGCTGCACCTGCTGCTGCTGCACCTGCTGCTGCTGCTGCAACACACGCGGCCTACGCGCTCGTTGCGTCTGCTGCTGCTGCTGCTGTTGAGGTCCTTGCTGGCGCCGCTTACGCTGCTGCTGCAGCACTTTACCTTGCTGCTGCAGCGCCTTGTCTTCCTGCTGCAGCACTTTGTCTTTCTGCTGCAGCGCCTTGCCGTGCTGCTGCGGCACCTCGTGCTGCTGCTGCTGCAACAAGTCCTGCTGCTGCTGCTGGTGCTGCTGCCGCTGCTGCTGCAAAGGAAGCAAAAACTCATCCTCAAGCTGTTGCTGCAGTTGTTCATCTAGTTGCTGCTCTGGCTGTTGCTGCTCAGCTTGCTGCTCCTGCTGCAGTGGCAGCAGAAATTCGTCTTCAAGCTGCCGCTGCAGCTGCCCCTCCCGCTGCTGCTGCTGCTGCTGCTGCTGCTGCTGCTTCTCGGTTTCCTGCTGCTGCTGTCCCTGTGGCTGCCCCCGTTGCTGCTCCTGCTGCAGCTGCCGTCCTTCCTGCTGTTGCTGCTGGTCTTGTCGCTGCTGCGGCTGTTCTTGCTGCAGCCCGAGCAGCAGCTCATCCTCCAGCTGCTGCAGGTCTTTCTCTTGCTGCTTCTGCTGCTGAGCAGAAGATTGCTGCTGCTCTTCTTGCTGTTGTTCTTTCTCCAAAGGCATGAGGGGTTCGTTCCGAAGCATCTGCTGCTGCCGCTCTTGCTGCTGCTGCTGTTGCTGCTGCTGCTTTTGTTGCCGTTGTAGCTGCTGCTGCTCTTGTGGCTGTCGCCGTTGCTGCTGCTGCTGCTGCTGCTTCGGTCTTCGCTTCAGAGAACGAATGAGCTTGTCTCCCGTCTGCTGCTCTTGCTGCTGCTGGTGCTGCTCTTGCTGCTGCTGGTGCTGCTGCGGGTGCTGCTGATGCTGCTGCTGCCGATGATTCTGCAGTTGCTGCTTGTGACGTTGTCGCTCTTGCTGCTGCTGTTGCTGCTGTTGCTGCTCTTGCTCAAGCGGGAGCACCAACGCATCCTCCAGCTGCTGCTGCATTTGCTGCGCCTGTTGCTGCTGTTGCTGCTCAACGTCCTGCTGCTGCTGCTGCTGTTCAGGTTGCTGCTGCTGCTGCTGCTGCCGTGTAACTTCTTGCTGCTGTTGCTCTTGCTGCAGTGGAAGCAGCAGCTTGTTCTCCAGCTGCTGCAGGTTTGCTTCCTGTTGCTGTTGCTGCTGCTGTTCAGGCTGCTGCTGACGAGGTTGCTCTCGCTGCAGTGGGCCCAGCAGCTCATCCTCCAGCTGCTGCTGCAGTTCTTCCTCCTTTTGCTGCAAGCGCTCCTGCTGCTGCTGCTCTTGCTGCTGCTCTTGCTGCTGCTCTTGCTGCTGCTCTTGCTGCTGCTCT